AACGCACGTTATCGAACCCACCTGAGGCCGGAAACGCACGTTCTGTTGGAATTGCTGAGAGATAGTGATTACTACCATGCATCACCTACGCCCCTTGTCAGCAATTGAGTGGAGAAGGACTGAGAGAACTGACGCCAAAAGCTGCTAAACATTTAGTGATTTTCAAGCAACTTCCTTGTGGCTCAAAGCAGGCTTCAAGGGGAGCGCCAGCGTGCCAAAGGGCTTTTGCTTGCTGCCGACTCTTGGAACTCAATTTAAATTTAACTTTAATTCTAATAGCTTTTTGTTACTACTAGTAAGGCACCTGTTACTACTAGCGTGGCACTTGTTACTACTATTGTCGAATCGCTGCAAGATACTTTGCTTACAACATCATAATACAAATCCTTACATGACCATACATGGTTCTATTGGATTGGAGGCCATCGCTAGTAGGTTGAAGGCCATTGCTAGCAGGTTCCCAAGTTCTTGTGGGTCCACAAGTCTTGGAAAAAAAAAGAGCGTTTTGGCCTTATGAAACGTGAGAGGATCGGCATTCAGATAGAGGAGAGGACGGAAAGAACGATGGAAAGGAGAAGTGGAAGGGAGCCTGATGGTAGTTGCACGCGAAAGGTGAGAGAGAGAGAAAGAACCAGGTCCCGCTGCGGACAGGGGGTGGTTCAGGTCATTACACTTGTTTTCGTCAGACTCAGTGATGGCCTAGGAAAAACATGCTGAGATCCAGCTGCTCCGTCAGATGGGTTGGCATGTCATTTGTGTGTGGGGCTGAGTGAGACAGTGAGACAAGCAAGATGGCATGCAACAAAAAAGATGTCACGTTTGTGAAAGTGGGCATCTACTTAACACCACTCTTTTGACACCTTCTATGATACTGTTGCCTCTCCGTCTCCTCTCAAAATCAAACCACCCAGTAGGTGCAGTTCACTGGTAAAAGAAGCCACCAACTTGGGCAGATCTGCTGCTTGCGGATTACCTTTGTCCTTATGATCACAACCCAGGTCCCAGAGCACAGATGGCAGATGGAAGACCCGAAAGGATTTCAGGCACGAGAAAACGAACAGGTCTGAGAGAGTTCAGGATTGTAATTTTCTTTTGATTCCTGTTGGACTGGAAAAGACCTGTCACGAAGGTTCATGCCATGAACAACCCACCCTCGGCCCCGAACGGAAGCCTCAGGCGAACCGTGAGATGATCTTCAAGCTAGTTGCCGATCTCACAGGTTGGCTTTCAGCCTGTCAGCTGATGTTTCGTGTGATCTGAATCCACCGTGCCAGACATGTTTGGCTCGGGCGCCAGACATGGAGGCGTCATGCATATGAGCAATCAGGATGAGAGCAAACACCGTGATCAAGAACAAGTGGACCCTTTTTGGCTCAAGAACAAGTTGGAAAGCTCTTCCAGACTTTGGCTATCCGTTCCCTACACTTGGTGATGGGCGTGGAGGAAAGCACCATCCCAGAACTCAAGCGCTTATTGGCGTTGAGTCCTGGATATAGTGCGCACGATGTGGAAGTTGCAATCAGCTCCTTCTTTGATACATGGAGATCAAATCCCAGGTTTTCAACTCATCTTCTTGACTTGTTGGCGAAGCGTCGGCTTGCTGGTTTGTGTGAAGATGTACTGCGGTGCATGTCGAAGGGCCGGCTGGAGATCAGCGTTTTTGAATGTAGCGCTGTGATATCTGCATATGAGAAGGATGGGAACTGGAAGCTGGCTCTAAGGTTTTTGCAAGCGATGCGCCAGTTGTGCAACCCAAACATGGCTTGTTGTTTGGCAGATTTTAAGTGAACGGTGTGATGAATAAGCTTGTATAAAATAATAGGGTAGGATGCTAGGACCTATTTTTCAAGTTGCTGTTTTCGCCCAGCTTCGCAACATCAGGCTTCAATGCTGCTATCAATGCCTGTGGCAAAGAAGGTCAGTGGCCGACGGCGTTATTTCTGAGCCAACATGCGAGACAACAGCTCTTGAAACCAAACATGATTAGCATTGCTTCTGTCATCTCAGCAAGCGGGCAGGTGGCTCATTGGGATGTAGCCCTGGACACTCTATTTGCCGCCAGTCAACAGCGCAGACTAGTGGACAGAATATGCTGGAATGGAGCAATAAGTGCATGTGAGAAGGCTGGGCAGTCCAAGTCTTCTATGAGTCTCCTGCGAGAAATGATGCATGCCTCCTTCAGACCAGATACCATTAGCTTCAACGCAGCCTCTTCCTCTTTCGCAGCAGGGGGCTACTGGCAAGACTCTTTGCTTTGCCTGGAGGAGATTGCCTTGAGTCTTGGAAGGCCAAGTGTGATCAGTCACAACAGCTGCATCAGCTCCAGTGCAGCTGCTGCTGCTTGGCCCCAAGCTGCTTGCATTTTTTCTACCATCCGGAATTCACTGCTTCGGCCGAGCATGGTAAGTGGCAGTGCTTTGTTGGCAGCATGCCAAGAAGCAGCCAAATGGCAAATGGCCTTAGATGCTCAAAGTTGGAACTCGTTGAAGCTTTTTGTTGCTTATATATATTCAGTATACATTTTAGTACATATGTAACTATGTAACTGTTAGAATTTCTGATGGGCTTCGAACTTGGAACCTAGGATGTTTTTGGAGGAAGGGCTTGGAACCTCGTTGCATGCTCGGCTGCTACCAGCGCTTGCACAAAAGCCACATCGTGGCTTTATGCAACTGAGCTGGTGATGAAACTAGGACGGTGGGTTGAGCAGCTGAAAGGGCTGCTGTTCGTCATCTCGACATTTGCTTTTCGTCCTTCTTTGGCTGGAGGACATCATGCAGTGCTTCCTGATATTGTTGTGCTGGGTGCCCTGATGGAGTCCTCAGCCTTCTTGTCTGCATGGGAAAGTTCCATTGGAATGTTGCTTCCCGGCTATATTCAAACCGTTTTGAATCTCCAGGGATGGCCGATATCTTGCAGATACCTATTGACTACGAACTCTTCCAGTGGAACCCAGAGATACAGTAGATGAAATGATCAGGATAGGTACTGGAAAGGAGATACACGAGGCTTGGTATGAATGTATGAATCAATCATGCTTCAACTTACCCCGCTTAACGCGTTTCGACATTGTGACCCAGGACAGATCTTTCCCGACAAGGCTTCGTTCCCAGTGAAATTGCATGTGGAGCTGTAATCACAGCCTGCTACAAAGCAGAATCGGCACAAAGCGTTGGAAGAGAAAAAAGCTGGGAATTGTTCTTGGAAGTTGTTGGATGACCAAACAGCTCTCTCCTTTTTTGGCTGTGATGTGTTTGTACATGAAATAATGATCAATGTAGGCCCCACTGGAAAGACACGATTTTGGCCAGGTGAAGTGCGCTGAAGTCCCGTGCGCTGAACCCAGGTGAAGTGCCATTTGGAAGGCTGGTGGTATGATCGACCTATTGGACCTATCCGTTTGATTGACCTGGCACAGGTGTTGCCATGACAAGCTGTCTAACAAAAGGAACACGTGGGCTGACGAGCGACCGACGATCAGCTGACCGACGCGACCGACGAGCTGACGAGTAGCAGAAGGGAAGCTTCGACCGACCCTCTGATGGATCCGACCGCTGCGCTGCCGCCGAAGAGCATGGCGACTCATGGCGACCTTCCGACAGACCCTCCGATTGCGACATGTGTGGAGATGTCATCCAACAGCGGAAAGCTGTTACGATGAAGATCGTTGTTTGCAGAGCCTGCCACGGGAAAGAAGGTTCTTCAGCGTCTAACGATATGCCTGAGAGATGTGGATCCAGTTGAAGTTGGATGGGCGCACATCGATGTCATGCGAACTGCTGGCTTTTCTGTTGGCTCCAGATCTCTTTTTTTAGAAATCTAACAAAACTGTACCTAGTTGCATCTTCATGACAAGTGCAACTGTTTCTTCAAACACAACGAACCCTTTCACATTACCACTCCGTAGCAGAACTTTGCACAGACGAGTCCACCAGCAGCGGCTTGGCTGATGTAGCGGTCAGTCTGGCCGAATTGAGCCACCATGGTTGAATCTTCACATAGGAACTCGATGCGTTCTTCTTGTGCAAGCACTGTCCCGTTGTTTTTGCAGGAACACCAATAAACATGCACAGATAGTCTAAAAGCCCGCACAAGGCAAGATTCAACCTCAAACCTGGACGACCGTGTGGCCCAACATGTGGCCACCTGAATCGGGACTGATGTACCTTTTGATGTGATTTTGGCCGAGGACATGACGTACGGTGTGGATCTCAGCTCAATATGATGACAACTATCACAAATTATATCAGGGAGTTGTTGACCACACACCCCTCGACCACACCGCTACACCGTACACCCCAACATTTTGTTACAAAACGCTACAGTCTGTCAGTTGTCAGTTTTGTTATCCGCAACTTTCCACCAAATCCAGGTGAACGTGTCTTCTCGTTTTTGTGCTGATTCAACTGTTGATTCATCAGTGCTGTCACTGTCTCACTTCTCTCTTTCTGGATGCAGTCCAAATAAGCATGGCAATTGCGCCTATGCCTGAAAACTGCACCTATTGGGCTTCTTGGGTTCTGAGGGAGGGCTACCAACAAACACAAGTGACAAATGTGCGCGCTCATTTATGGCACCATCCTTCTTAACGGAAAGCCTTGATTTTTGATGCCCAGTGTTGTCAAAAAAGTTGTGGTCAACAAACTCCCTCATTATAGTCTCGAATTTCCCTTCACTGAAGCCAGACAAGTTCTTTTTTGCAGTAGTGGTCTTCAATCGAACCGGTATAGACAACTTTATGGCCATCATGCCTTTGGACATCAATTCATCATCGAAAATGAGTAAGCCGAGTCAGGGTTCAATATGTTCAAACCAAACTGCTTAGATCAACAGATTGGACGCCACTGCACCTATGATGCCTTTGTATGCCGTGCCAGGATGCAACGGTTCCCAGGGCAAAGTGTCGGTGCCCTAGGAAGCACCGGGGGTGTCGCCCTGTGTCCAGCACTTGGACTCCGTGGAGGTCGGACCACGTTTTTCGCTGCAGCTGCTGCGCCAAGATGATCCCGGATCATGCCCCAGTCACGGATCCATGTTTCGACCCGAACCGAGACCAAACCGGGTGCCAAATTTGTTTAGCTGTTGAATGTCAGGGGTGCCAGCCAAGCTTTCAGCGTGCCAGGTCTACATGCGAGATGACCTTACCTACTGCAGCTCCATGTGCCGAGACAGGGGATTGTCCAGGTTGGGGAGAAACATCAAGTTGTAAGCACACTGGACAGAATTTTGGCTCACACAATTCACTGGAGCAACTTGGGTGATCAGAGAGACAGTTGTTTGATTTTGTTTGGTACCAGTTTAAGCAGTTCTGTTGAATGCCTCGCCCAGCTGACAGTGTCCAGGCTTGTCTTGAATTTGAAAGAAGCTCGACTGGCTCGAGTTCCCTCAGGCACCGCACAACATTATGGCGCCAGTTGCGAGTTTGGCAAGTTTGGACTTTGGACATTTCAGACTCACCCAACGTGGTCCAGGTGTTTCTACAGCCGTTTTCTCCGCCCAGGTGGCTCCGACCTGTGCACGGCCAGCGTCTACAAGTCGGACGCTTCTCCGACAGCGAAGACCGAGGTCACGGACCTCAGCGTGACGGACGACGTGGATTGTCAGGGGCCCCAGAGATCGGCCACAGAAATCCGTTTGGTTTCTGAAGGGCTTGTTGTGGCAGAGCGCTTATTTTTCTTCTCCAAATATCGCCTTGGCTTGGCGTTCTTAAGGGGTTCTCAATGTTTGCATAGAAACGATCCTGGGACAAGATTGTTCGTTTGGCCTTTTGTCTCCTTTTGTCTCACGTGGCTCTAAACTGGCGGCAGCACCCGTTCTGAAAACTTCTGTTTGGTTCGCTGGCAAAGAAGCTGTTTGGGGTCGATGCTAGGAGCAAGGACGCTAGTAGGAGCAAAGGGCTTTACTAGTAGGAGCAAGGACGCTATTAGGGGCTCCTGGCCTTACTACTAGGAGCAAGAACGCTGCTAGGGCCTCCTTGCCTTACTACTAGGAGCAAGGACGCTTCTAGGGGCTCCTTGCCTTACTACTAGGAGCAAGGCCGCTACTAGGGGCTCCTGGCCTTACTACTAGGAGCAAGGACGCTGCTAGGGGCTCCTGGCCTTACTACTAGGAGCAAGGACGCTGCTAGGGGC